TGCACGATCCCTCAAAATGTCTTTAGCAATTTTTTGTACATCTTTTCCACCGCCCTTTGCTCCTGGCTTCTTTGAGAAGTAGCAATCTATAAGACCTTTAGTCGATGATCCATGGCTTGACCCATCTCTTCCCCGTTTTGTTGGAAGTGACAATTCTTCAATATCATCATCATCAAGATTGGTCACCATTGGTTGATGAACCATTTGATTTTTTTGCTCCTTCTTCTTCTCAACAAAATTCTTTATTTCTTCCCTCACCTCCGGTGGACATTTCGGACAACTTGTGACGTTTCTATCGCCACCAATTAAATGGTATTTAAAGCGATAAATTCTACCCGTTGTAATCTTGTTGCAAAACTTGCATACAACAGTTGTATTCTTCTCATTAACTCTCTCGCCATATCGCCAAGCCGGGTCTTTCTCTTTCGAACTTTGAGACATTTTAATATCCCTATTAAGATATAAGAAAAACATAATCAATAAACTGAAAATACATATAATATATATAATAATTAATTATATAAACTGAAATATACATTTAAAAAATCACATAAACTAAAAATAATACATATATATAATTAATTTTATATGCTGAAATATAATAATAATTTAATTTTATATGTTGAAATATAATAATAAATGAAATACATATAATAATTAAATATATATGCCGGAATATACACAAACGAAAAGGAAAAAGAAAGAAAAAATGGTTCCTTACTCTGTTCTGGACTGGAGAAACAGAGAAAGAAAGAAGAAGAAGAAGAATGAAAAAAAAAATGAGAAGAACTGAAGAACAGAAGAAGAAAGGAGAAAGGAGAAAGGAGAAAGGAGAAGAAAAAATTACCTAGGTCAGCAATGGCGAGTGTCGCGAGCGAGAAAGGAGAACTTGAGCTAGAGAGAAAGGGTCAGCAATGGCGTCTCTGCTTTTGGATTTCAGCTTCAGCAGGTAAAAAACCCTAGGTTTTGTGAGACTCTGTTTTGTCGAAGGGGAAGGGGTTTTTGGTCGATTTAGGGTCTGTTTTGTCTAATAGAATAACATACCCAAATTTTTTTTAAAAGAAAACCCCCTGTGCTTTTTTGCAATGAAGCGATCGCTTTATCCGCTTCATCGCTTTTTCCTGTGAAGCGCTCGCTTCCTCAGATCGAGTCACCTCAGTGTGCTGGAAGCGACAGTAGGTCGCGTCGCTTCGCGCTTAAAGCGACGAAGCGCGCGCTTTTCTAAACACTGCGAGACCCCTAACACCTCTCTCGCTGCCTCCCTTATACAGTCCGCTGTCGCCGTTCACATACCGCTAGCATTCCCACCACTCTTCCAGGCTCCCATAGCCGCCAACCTTCCCTCTAATTCCTGCGCATTTTCCTTAGTTAAGACTCCACACCCGATCCTCGATTGCCCCCGTACAAACCTCTTCTTCCTCTTTATCAAGATACCGACGTCCATCACCAGGAGCCTATGCTGTGTTGCGAGGTTCTCGCTCGGGATCACCTTACAATCCTCGCACAACCCCTTATCACACCTCCTGAGGAGAAGATAATCAATTTGAGTCTTAGCCACCATACTCCGGAAAGTAATCAAATGCTCCTCCTTCGGATAAATAGAGTTCACGATCACCAACTCAAAAGTTCTAGCGAAATCCAAAAGTAGGAGATAAAAGGATGAACAATTTATCATGATATTATTGGTTTCAATTAGGGTGAAAGTCATTTATGAAATCCTTAATATTAGAACATTGGATTTTAGTTTCGAACCAATTCAAATCTAATTATTTACCCAACTAAGAGAATATCTTTAGAAAAAAAGTTTTATCTTATATACACATTTTACTCTATTAGGTACCTAACAGATAATTACATGTAACTGGACATAAAATGGGAATTAGTAACCTGAAAAACAAGACAAGTTACCTGCTATAACAAGTTATTTAGATTGATAGTCCAAGTTAAATCCATAAAAAAACAATTTTGAAAAGGTATCCTCTTATCCAAATATGTCTATCCAATCGAACTTGGAAGCTAATATATCTAATAATTATTAATTTAATTATCTATGAAGATGCTTGATTATTAGAGAATGGACAACATTCTTGATTATTGAGAATGGGCTCTTGTTAGAGTGGGCTTTAGTTCGTACTATTCTTAGTTTTAGCATGCAGTTTATGATGAATTAAGCATATATGCAGAGAAAAGGAATGATCTGAGCATTGCATGATTGTTGTTGAATCTCATAACCGTGATGAACTTTTAACTAATGGATATTAGACTCTACACTAGGATTTTATGTATGGAAATCAAAATAGTGGTCTATGAGAATTGTATGGCTTTCTGCCAGTTGCTCATTCAGTTCATTGATGAGCTGTCTTGATGTAAATATTCTCTTATTCTCTTATTTGTATATGGGATCAAATCAAATAACTCATATTCTACCTTCATTTTTTTATTTCCTTTATGGGACTTGGGAGTACAACAACAACAACAACCCAGTAAAATTCCACTAGTGGGGTCTGGGGAGGATAGTGTGTACGTAGACCTTACCAAGGAGTAGAGAGGCTGTTTCCGAAGACCCTCGGCTCAAGAAAACAAAAAGACAAAAGGAGACAATATTAGTATCACCACAGAAATCATAGGAAAAATAGGAACAACATGAAATCCAGAAGAAAGATGCAAAGCAAAAGCGATAGCTAGTAAATAGGTTCTGCACTAAAAAGAGAAATAGTAAGACACAACATTGCCACTAGCTATCTTAGACAAAAACCCTACCAGACTAGTCTCACAAAAGTACGAAGTAAGGCAAGACTCAACTACCTCCTAACCTACAACCCTAATACTCGACCTCCACATCTTCTTATCAAGCGTCATGCACATACTGGTTTTTAAACTTATTTGTCCCTAAAACTTAGCCTCTCTACCCTTCCATGGTAGGGGTAAGGTCTGTGTACACTCTATCCTCCCCAAACCCCATTAGTGGGATTTTACTGGGTTGTGTTGTTGTAGTTTCATCAAAGTTTTCGTTTGTTAAAGCTGCTAGCATGTTTTTATTTTCTCCAAATGACTGCAATTTTACAGCGATGGAGAGAGCAGCGCCATTTGCTGAGCAGGTGGATATCTCATCGGGCGACTCATCTTCCTCTGATGCAGATGATCGCAAAACAGAAAACAAACAGCTGAAAAATAATATCACCACTGGTCAACCTGTTAACGAACTTATTTCTGAAGGTACTGAAATTCTGTGTCATAATTCACATAATTATCAAGTAGAGTCTTGTTTCTCAATCTACTTGAAGTGTCTGCATATGTTCCCTTAGCGGAAACACACTCCAGTTGCTTTATCACTGTGAAAAACTGGAAAAAGGAGAACCCTCTTCTCTTGATTAAGTTTGAGATATGTTGTAGGTAGAGATTCTTATGTTTTTGTTCAATACATGAGGATCTAGTTAGGCTGTTGGTGTAGTGTTTCATGTTTCTTTTATTTACGCAAGCTTGTGTCCTCTTTTAGTATGGGAACTCGAGAATCAAAGACGGAGCTAGGAGTTTAGGTTATATGGTCCAACATTTCTCACTTCAAACTGTCGGTTGCTCAAGTGTGATTAGAATTTAGAAAGCAGTTCATGGACAAGTAAAGATGGTAGCATAATGCCCGGAAGGAATCTGTTAAATTAATATCACATTTATCAGGCACAGCTTATCTAATAGTTTTTGGTGTTAGTATAAAATTCTGTAATGGAGTTCAGGTAGGAATTTTAGTGCGGAAAACAACAAAATAAAGGCAAGCAATAAATTTTTGATTAGACCCAACAAAGAGGTAATTGAGAAGCAGAAGCAATTGATAACAATCAATTACCTATCAACTACAAACAAAGTGAACCTAAAACTGTAGGATTACCCTCAAGAGGAATGATTCCCCTTGTGTATACACCTTGGAAGTCTAGATCAACAAGTTGGAAGCCATAGCCCCTTAGAAACCATCATCAATATGCAAAATAAGCTAAAGAGGAAATAACCCTCATCAATATCCTTTTACACCAGGTCTAAATAGGGTCAATGAAAGACAAAATTACCTTTGAAGAAGGCCTAAGATAAATACACTAAAAAGAAAATAATTTGAGGCTCCAAGTGGTCTTCTTTCAACTCCTCCTCTTTAGGCAAAACATATAAGACATTGCAAGTCTTCAACGAGCTTCCAACTTGATCTCCAAGGCATCCCACTTCTTTGTAAAGATTTGTAAGTCCATTAGTTCTTTTGCTTGTGATCTAGTGAAAGGTCGTGAGGCTTGATGTGTACTTGTGTAAGTTGTGTTCCTTGGTTCGTATCAAGTTCAGCTGCACAGATCTTCAGATGAACTTTTTATACAAAGCCGTTATGCAATTTAACGTATAAGATCTGATAACGTTGTCAGTTCCACTTGTTTGATAATGTAATCTAAGAGCATCCAGATAGATGTGATTTGAATAATATTCTTTGTAAAGAATTTCATTTCCCATCCTAAATATGGTATTGGCTCTGATAACAAAACATGCAAAAACGGCTATTAAAAAGAATGTGCAAAGTGGAACTGTCATAATGAAACATTATTGTGAGAAGGCACGAGAGAAAATATGATATATTGATATTGTGTGTCTAATGCAATACAAAATGTGCTAATTTATAGCTACTCTATACAAAGAGCATACTACACCTATTCCAATGTGGGACAACTACATATCTATATCTAACACTCCCCCTCAAGCCGGAGCATACAAATCATATGTACCGAGCTTGTTAGATATATAACCAATGCGAGGACCGGTGAGGGACTTGGTGAAAATATCTGCAAGTTGATTATTCGACCTCACAAACTTCGTAGTAATATCTCCTGAAAGTATCTTCTCTCTTACGAAGTGACAATCAATCTCAATATGTTTCGTTCTCTCATGAAACACCGGATTTGATGCAATATGAAGGGCAGCTTGATTGTCGCACACAAGTTCCATCTGACTGATTTCACCAAATTTCAACTCATTGAGCAATTATTTGGTCCAGACTAGTTCACATGTTGCCATAGCCATTGCTCGATATTCTGCTTCTGCACTAGACCGAGCAACTACATTTTGTTTCTTGCTTTTCCAGGACATCAAATTTCCTCTTACTAAAACACAATATCTAGACGTAGAAATTCTATCAGAATGTGATCCTGCCCAATCAGTATCTGAGTACCCAACGATCTGCTCATGACCTCGATCCTCAAACAGTAATCCTTTGCCTGGAGCCGATTTTATATACCGGATAATGCGGACGACTGCATCCCAATGACTATCACAGGGAGAATTCATAAACTGACTTACAACACTCACAGGATAAGAAATGTCGGGTCTAGTCACTGTGAGATAATTTAATTTACCAACCAGCCGCCTATAGCTTGCAGGATCGCTAAGCGGCTCCCCCTGTCCTGGCAGAAGTTTAGAATTCGGATCCATCGGAGTGTCAACAGGTCTGCAACCTATCATCCCTGTCTCCTCAAGAATGTCTAAAGCATATTTCCTTTGAGAAATAAGAATACCTGAGCTAGATTGAGCAACCTTAATACCTAGAAAGTACTTCAATCTGCCTAGATCCTTAGTTTGAAAATACTGGAAGAGATGCTTCTTCAGATTAGTAATACTATCCTGATCATTGCCAGTAATTACAATATCATCAACATAGACTACCGGATAAATACATAGACTTGAAGCAGAGTGCCGATAAAACACAGAGTGATCAGCTTCACTACGAGTCATGCCAAACTCCTGGATAACCGTGCTGAACTTACCAAACCAGGCTCGAGGAGACTGCTTAAGACCATAAAGTGACCGACGCAAGCGACATACAAGGCCACGAGACTCCCCCTGAGCAACAAAACCAGGTGGTTGATCTATATAAACCTCATCCTCAAGATCACCGTGAAGAAAGGCATTCTTAATGTCTAGCTGATAGAGGGGCCAATGACGAACCGCGGCCATGGATAGAAAAAGGCGAACTGATGCCACTTTAGCCACAGGAGAGAAGGTATCACTGTAATCGAGTCCAAATATCTGAGTATATCCTTTGGCAACAAGACTGGACTTAAGTCGATCAATCTGGCTATCGGGACCAACTTTGACTGCATAAACCCAACGACAACCAACAGTAGATTTACCTAAAGGAAGAGGAACAAGCTCCCAAGTACCACTTGTATGTAAAACAGACATCTCGTCACTCATAGCCTGTCGCCATCTTGGATGAGACAACGCTTCACCTGTAGACTTAAGGATGGAAATCGAGGACAAAGAAGATATAAAAGTATAATGGGGAGATGACAGACGATGATAACTCAAACCAACATAATGAGGATTAGGGTTAAGTGTGGTCCGTATACCTTTTCGAAGTGCAATCGGTGTACTAGGAGCAGGGTCAGGTGCAGGATGAGAACCAGTTGGGCCTGATGTAGGGCGCAGACGACGATGATAAGTCAAGAGTGGTGTTCCTGTGACTGGGAAACTAGGAGGAACAACACTAGACTCCTCAATGGTTAGTATGGGTGAAACCTCCGTGTTCGAAGGTGGAGGAGGAGCTATAGGAAACTCCTCAAAGGTCGGTATAGGTAAGACCTCATATATATCACGGTGGTCAGCAGAAGCAAAGAAAGGTTTAGACTTAAAAAATGTGACGTCAGCTGACATAAGGTACCTACGAAGATCAGGTGAATAACAACGATATCCCTTTTGAACACGAGAATAGCCAAAGAAGACACACTTGAGAGCACGAGGAGCTAACTTATCTTTCCCAGGGGCTAAGTTATGAACAAAACATGTGCTCCCAAAAACACGAGGTGGAAGAGGGTATAAGGCTGACTGGGGAAACAATACTGAATGCGGAATCTGATCCTTGATGGGAGATGGAGGCATCCTATTAATCAAATAATAAGCTGTGAGAACTGCATCGCCCCAAAAACGCAACGGAACACGAGATTCAATTAGAAGTGTGCGAGCAATCTCAATAAGGTGCCTATTCTTTCTCTCTGCAACCCATTTTGCTGAGGGGTATAAGGACAAGATGTCTGATGAATAATTCCATGGGAAGTCATAAACTGCTGAAACTGAGAAGATACATATTCTAAGGCATTATCACTGCGAAAAATACGAATAGACACCAAATTGATTTTTTATTTCAGCACAAAAACTCTGGAATATAGAGAATAACTCAGAACGATCTTTTATTAAGACAAGCGAAGTACATCTTGAGTAATCATCAATGAAACTAACAAAATAACGAAATCCCAAGGTTGAACTGACTCTACTAGGACCCCATATATCAGAATGAACCAAGGAAAAAATAGACTCTGCATGACTCTCAACACTACGCGGAAAGGAAGCTCGGGTATGTTTCCCAAGCTGACACGACTCACAATCTAATGTAGACAAACTGGATAAACTAGGCACCATCTTCTGAAGTTTGGATAAACTTGGATGTCCTAAACGACAGTGGATTAGGTCCAGAGGATCGGTAACTAGACATGTTGTGGAAGGACTGAGTGAATTAAGGTAGTAAAGGCCTTCTGATTCACGTCCTGTACCAATTGTCTGTTCCGCACTGCAGTCCTGCATAATAAAAGAATCATCAGTAAAATATATACCACAATGGAGGGCAAGAGTCAAACGACTAACAGATGCAAGACTAAAAGGACAACCAGGGACATAAAGAACGGAATCTAGGGTGATAGAAGACAATGGGTTAGCTTGTCCAACTCCTTGTGCCTTAGTTTGACATCCACTGGCTAAAGTAACAGTGGGAAGAGACTGTGAATATACAATATTCGACAAAATTTATTAACAGAGATGTGATCAGAAGCGCCTGAGTCCATGACCCATGGTCCAAGAGTACTAGACTGGGAAACACAAGCAAAAAAATTACCAGCAACAGGAGTATCAGTCGGGGCAACTGAGGCTATTTGTGGAGATGTCTGCTTACTTGCTCGATACTGAAGGAGCTCATTATATTCATCTTTAGATATAGAAAAACCTTGGTTACCTGTAGTCTCGGTCTGAGCAACGTAAGCATTTTTGGGTGGACGTCCATGTAAGGAATAACACATTTCACGAGTGTGTTCAAGTTTGTGACAATAAGAATACTTGGGTCTAGATCTCCCAAAACGACCTCGTCCACCTCTGTTCTCCATAGTTTGAGACGCCCGAACATCCACTGTCTACGATGCGAGAACAGAGGAATCAAGTATTTGTGATGAGATCAGTGAGTGACTTGGTGCTGCAGCAAGGCGGAGTAATCGAGAGAATAATTCATCAACTGTGGGAACAGTCGGACTAGCCAAAATCTGGTCTCGCACTGAATCAAGATCATTAAGAAGTCCAACGAGTGTAAGAACTAGAAACATCTTTTGTCGCTACTCTTGTTATTTTGCTACACTAGCAGAAACTGACATTAATGTCTCAAATTCCTCCATAACTGCTCGTACTTGACCCAAGTAAGTAGACATATCTAATTCTTGCTTCTTTAAGTTTGTCATCCGTGATATCACATCATAGAAGCGAGATATGTCATTAGTGTATAAGGTACGAGCCTTTGCCCAAGCCAAATAACATGTCTGGAATGGACGAAACAAAGGCATCAACTTGGAATCAATAGAACGCCACAAGATGCTACATAATTGAGCATCAATCTTTGCCCAAAGCGTTATCGCCTTTTCATCTCCTTCGCTAGACTGTTTAATTAGATGATCTTTAACACCTTGACCTTTATACCACAACTCGACAGATGAAGCCCAAGCTAAGTAGTTTGAACCTCCCATTAAAGGTTCCGAAGTAATCATTACACTAGAGCTTCCAGAACTCATGTTTTTAGACCCAAAAGCATCAATTCCCAAAGACATCGTTGCAAATTATTACCAAATTAAAGAAATAATCAAATGTAATCCACTGAAACAGAGTAAGGAACAATAAAACAGAATAAGGAAATACTGTAGCAGTCGGAATATTACTGTAGCAGTCGGAATATTACTGTAGCAGTCGGAATAGTACTGTAGCTGCGGGGAAAATTCAAAGTGGTCGGAATGAAATAAAAATAGTAGGGGTAGGATTGGAATTACCAGATTCAACTGTTCTGATGAAACGTTTTCAAAAAATGGCCGGAAGTCCACTTTTGAAATCACTATTCACGCCGGAAAAATATAAATGTTATCGGATTTTGGTGTAATCTGGATGGGTAGTCTCGGAATTGTAAGGGGAACAATTTGTCTTGAAGAGTCGTTGTCAAAAAATGGCCAAAAGGTGGTCCACGCGACGTCGAAACTTTGCCGGAAATTTTTTTTCTAGTGGCGAGTGGCGGCGCGTGGAGGGTATTCTGACGGAGATTTTTTATGGGTTGGTCGCCGGAGCCCGATCTACTTCGTGGTGGTGTTGGTTTTTGCACAACACTAACGAAAAGTGGCTTTTTTTTACTTGCGGCAGACCTGCCGGAAAAAGGCTTTCGGTCAACTGATTTTCCTTCCCGGAGTCGCTAGAATTTATGCACAGCGATAAATCTCTCACGATTGCTCTGATACCATGTGAGAAGGCACGGGAAAAAATATGATATATTGATATTGTGTGTCTAATGCAATACAAGATGTGCTAATTTATAGCTACTCTATACAAAGGGCATACTACACCTATTCCAATGTGGGACAACTACATATCTATATTATGGGTGTTTAACGGGCTAACCGGGCCGGTCCGGGACTCCATTTTTTGGACCCATACGGGTTACGGTCCGGTCCGGTTCCGGGTTGGTTCTTAATGGGTTTAACAGGTTCGGGTTCATCCGGATAAAAACCGAACCGTACGGGTTACGGGTTGAGAGGGCCGGGCCGGGTTTAGTGTAGTTTTAATTTTTTTTTTTGGAATTTTGTATAAATATTGTAATAAGTGCATTACAAAATACTAACATAAAGAATACAAGGGAGATGGGAAAAAAATGCACTTATTGCAAGTGCTACTTTTATTTTTTATTTCAAATTTCAAAGTTTCAAACTTACAAATTGAAAGGTTTTCATTTTTTCCAACAAGTGAAATAGTAAATTCAAAGGTTTTGCATTGCCTTAGTAAGTTCATCATAATCAATATGAACCGATTGACCTTCTTCTGGAGTGTTAAATTCGGATGGGTTACCATGTGTTAATATATCTCCAAGTTCCTCGTCTTCTGGGCTATCAACATCTTCACGTCCTTGATTTCTTCGTTCCGATCTAATCCAATCTCTGAAACATACTCAAACTTCCAACGCATTGCTTCCCAATGAGTGGCGGGTGTCTCCAAGTTGTTGTCTTGCTTGGCTAAATGCACTCTCCGATGCAACAGTAAAAATTGGTACATTCAGCACGTCCCGAGCTATAGCGAAAAGAACAAGAAATTGCTTTCCATTCTCATGCCACCATCCCAACGGTGAAAATTCCTTTGTGCGAGACTCTTTTTGCTTCTGCAAGTAGAATTGAAGTTCATCAATGTTCTTGCTACTGGTTTGAGTGTTAGAAAATGTAGAAAAAATATTAAAACTATCAAGGCCTTCTTCATCATCCACAGTAGCAGAAGTGGTACAATGCATAGTTGGATTAACATTGCCTACATTAAGAGCAGCATCATCAATTACATTTGCATAATAATTATATAATTGTTGTAAATATTCATTTAGCTTGTTCATACAAGTATATAAATCTGGGATGCAAATTGGAGAATGAGAGAAATTGAGATTGAGAAATGAGTATTGAGTGAAGAAATGAAGAAGAGGGGGAGGGTATTTATAGTTTTAAAGAAGGTTAGTTTTGTAAATTGAAAAAGGGTTAAAAATTAAAAAACAAAATAGGCTATTTGTGCAATATTTCCGGTGGCCAATGGACCAAAACATGGTCTGACCGTTGCCAACGGTCTGTGGGGCCCCCAAGTCCGAAAAATTAAATAAAAAAAAAACTAGCCGTTTGAACCGGGCCGGTCCGGGCCGGTTAACCCGGTAAGAGTTACTATTCACTCTACCGGGTTCAACCGGTTCCGGTTACCCGTTTGGGCCAGCTGAACCGCGCCAACCCCCCAAACCCTCCTACCCAGCCCAGCCCAGCCCCTTATTACCGGTCCGGGCCGGTTCCGGGTTTTACCGGTCTGGGCCGGTCCGGAACCGGTCCAACCCAGCCCGTTTAACACCTTTAATCTATATCTAACAATTATAAAACTTGTCTAATCAAACTTGATACATAATCTTTTAGACATGAATCAGTTGAGTAAAATTTCTGTTTTTTCATTCTTAGCCTTGAAGCCAGATTAATTGTGGTTTCTCAAGGGTGCTATAGAGAGTAGCCACTTGAAGACAATACTACCAGTATTTAGCATTTACAGAAGCAAGCATTTAAACTGAAAAGTCTTTCTAGATATAATTCATAAAATATTCTTCTTTCTTGAGGAAAGAAAATGAAGGAGGGAGAACACTTTTGTTGAATAAAAGGAGAATTTACGCTAATAGGTTTTGATAAACAAAGCATTTTGGAAAGAGCAACTAGTACTTTCCATTTTTGGAGAGATTCATTTGAGGAACATGGAGACTAGTTGAAGTACTGATCAGGAGGCTTAGTACTTAAACTGAGTTAATAGAAAATCATTTTACCTTCTTAGTTGGACTTCTCGATAATTCTCAAAAAAAAAAAGATAGAAAAAATTATCCCTAGAGTAGAGTCGAGAACAGGAATGCATAAACCAATGCTTCCATAGATTTTGATGGTATGAACTTCCCCTATCTCTCAAAGGAATAAATTAAACAAACAAATATAAATCCAAGCGGCCTTTTCATAAATTCAAGAGATCTTCTCGTAGGTGTTTGTGTCCCGTATTCAATGTGGATCTAATTGATTAAGGAAACATGAGTATAATTAGTCAATTTATTAGTGAACAAGGACAAATATTTTTATATCCTTATTGAACAAAGAAAACATTTTCTCTCTTCAACCCTTTGAGCAAAATGCTTGCAAAAGAGACGGAAGGAAAATCTCACCAATAAAAAAAAAGAAAGGAAAATCTGTGGACTAACGCCATCATCTCATTGATGAATCCAGCTGCTGAATAAAACTCCAAGTATTCATGTCTCTCCCGTTGCTTATCCTCTCCCATCTGGTGTCTTTCTCCCTTTTTCTCTAGCTTATGTCCAGAACACAACCACCAGCAACAAGAAAGCCTGCACTTTGAGTGCGCACAAAGACATCTGAGCTCCTCCCACTTTTCCCATCTCTCATCTCATCATTTTGCTTCCAATTGCACAGTGCACGTAGATTCTTCCTGTTTCCTCTTTATCTTGGTTTTGGATCTGTATGGGCTTTAAGAATAATGGAGCATTAAATTTGTCTTGGGGGATGAAAATGATGAAAATGTTTCTTTTTTTTCAAACAAGTTTTCTGCAACCTTGGGAAATCAAAACGAAGTAAAAATGACTGTAGAATTAGGAGATTTCATAAAATGAAAGTGCAAATTCTGCATCTGGACAACTCCAGATGTTTGCTTGTATTCCTTTTTTCTTCTCCGGTAAATGGTTTATGAGACACTAAGGGTTCTTTGTATCAAGTAACTCTGACAATAACCAAACAATAATTGATGTGATTTGGTGGGGATGAAAAGGAGAAGAGCTGATGGAGAGGAAGTAAAACGTGGACGGATTATTTCTCATCTGGTTAGTAAAAAACGAGAAGACTGGATGTGAAAGGGTTAGAAGATACCCTTCCATGTCAATTTTTAACCTTATTGAAACTTGACCAAAAGAAATATATCTGTTTTGCTTCCTATCCATCTGTACAAGTTGACTGATCTCTGGCTACAAGTAGCTTCTGTTTGATTCCCAGGAAAATCTCGTCCATAAATCTATGTTCTGTTTATCTTTTCTAATGTGAATGAGCAATTGAGAGGTCTCTTTGATAATAGTACTAATGCTCGAAGGGATTACTTTTGCTGCTTCTTTTTTTTAGTATGAAAATCGTTTTAAATATTTTATGTTGAATTCTTAGTTCAAACTAGTAGCCAGACAATTGACCACGGTGCAAGATTGAAGATTACAGTTTACATCTTATTTCATGTATTATATCTGTATAACTAGTCTTACAGGTTCTGCATTACAGATTCAATGATAAGAAGAGCAAGAATGTACCAGGAGTACATGCAGTTGGTCCCTATTCCCACACACCGTGGCTCTATTATCCCTTTCACCTCATGGGCGGGATTAGCTGCATCCATTAAGCAGTTATATGGGCAACCACTGCACTACCTAACCAATGTCCACATGAAGCAGTGGGATCAAATGAGGTTTGGCACCAACGATGATGACGTTCCATTAGATACCATCATACATCCTAGCAAAGCTGAAGCAAGCATCTGGCTTATTGAAGAAGTTCATAGGCGTGCCTCATCTCATCATTACATTGCCCAACTTTGGCTTGCTGATCCAATGTATCATGCCTATGTTGATCCAATTTTCCCAAAGCTGCAGAATTCATCAAAATAGATTCTTTTCCAATCTATCTTCATTGACTTGGTCCAGACTACTCATTAACCTTCTACTTGGGAAAAAATTTCATCTCCATCACCCTTTCCAAACAACCATGTTATATGAAAAATTGTACATCATAATGACTTGCTTTCACATGTTGATAGAGTAATATGTTTTCAGCACATGGGCTATATGGTGATCTTGTGTTTGTGCCATACGTGCTTTTTTTCGCGTTAGTCAACTTAAAGGAAATACGACATACCGATTCCCGATCAGCAATATGCCTTAGCCTATTAAAACTTCTTAATTCGAAATCTTCGGTTAGCTCACTGGTAGCCTAAAATTATGCGTGATGTCAACTCCACAAAACCTTTACTCAAATTATGTCAAATTACTGCATTCATTTTGAAACCCATTTACTTTCTATTTTCTGTTTTTTTTTTCTGGAAACCCATTTACTTTCTGTTTTCTGTTTTTTTTTTTTCTGGAAAAAAGAGGTGCAAGTGCGACAATGTCCCAGCCAGCAGGTATTTTTATGGTCGACTGAAATATTCGACTACTACTAAACGAGACATGCTACGTTAAACAGCATTACTCAACCACAAGTAGGTGTAGGGCATGAAAACCAGAAGCATTTAATAAGATCCCCTTTTTATTCAGAACAAATAGCAAATAAGCCAGAACAAGAACCATATTTTGTACAATTCTTGTTGGTGGAATCAGGATACTAGAGCAAATAGCCTCTGCATTTGATACTGTCTGTTAGAAAAATAGCAGAATATGGGGACAAAATAATTAGAGTTTGATAGTGTAGTCACTGTCCTTAAAGAATTTAGCCCTCCCACTTTTGTTGTTGCAGGGATTATTACAGAATTCCTTCAGAATTCCACAAAGCTTATAAAATTCAGAGTACCAACAATTGTACTAGAACAAACTTTGTGAACTATAGATAGCAGAAGGATAAGAAGATGGAAATATGTTACCTTTTGTGATGTATTTCGATTTGGAGGGGAATAGGGTATTTATAATCCCCTTAGGAGTTTGTTAGAATTAACAAGATCAACCTTTGCCAATGGGTACCCTTTTAAAACAAATAGTCACCTTTTCAAAATTAGTAGACTGTTAAAATGTTTTAATAATTTAGAAACATTTTTTATTAAATAACAAAATTAATAGGTGCCTAAAAATGTTAATTTCAAACTAGTTCATTGGCTGGCCCAACTACCCAATCTTGATTATAAGGAATTTTCACCTCCTATAGCAAAGGTTAACACTTTATTTATTTTAATTAAATACCATTTAAATAAATTATATTCTATAGATACCTTTTAAGGTTTATAGCAAAATATTTAATTTTGGTTACCTCCTAGCCATAAGCCACTAAATACGCTAATCAGTTACAATATTTTCTTTCTCTCTCTACTTTGATACATCCCATTCTCTTCCCCCATCCCATTAAAATTTTCGATTTTCTTCCTCTTCTTTGTCTAGCCAACGATTCTTTCCCTTTCATAAAACAACCAAATTCCTTACGAAATATTCGAAGATCAAGAGGAGTAAACGAAACTGTTCAACTGAAGTTGTTCAAGCCAATATCTTTCTGCGTTGATTTGGGAATACAGAAGTGAGGCAAGGCAAAGAAAACCCTACATCTGAACTTGAATTAGAATTGAAAGGCTTAAGACTAGGGCACAAATGAGTAGAAATAGCGATTTTCTCCATTTTGGAGTAGAAATTGAGAGGAAAAGAGGTAATCTAGGGAAAAAGGGACCTTTTCTTTTTTGGGTTCTTGATTTGGTTCTACTTATCCTCCAGCTCGACGAGACGACATTAGGGTTATTCTTGAACAAAGACAACAGAGTTCGGGGCTGAGCAACTTTCTGTTAATATATTTCAATGTATTTCAATGTATCTCGCTTTCATGTATTTCACTGTATTCATTATCTTTTTTTCATTGTATTTCAATGTATCCCGCTGTATTCTATATATTTCATTGTATTCACTATCTCTCTATATGCCATGAATGTATTCATAAGTTTTTTTTTAATTAATATAATTTATGTATTCAGATGTATTATATAATTTCTCTGAAGATTGCTATGTTTTTGGGGTATTTTTCGGTTGAAAATCTTTTTTATAACTGAAAATACAAAATTTATGTGTTATAATTGAGTTTGTTGAGTTATATTAGGAGTCTATTATGTTAATTGACTCACTCCATGAATATAGTCGAATACACTCGAATACAACAACTGATTAGCTGGACTTCCCTGATTCAGGCCTATTTTTGCTATAATCCGTAATATAGCAAATGATATTTATAGATGGCTAATTACTACTATAAGATGGTGCTTTATAAAAATTTCTCTATTAATAATATAGTCAAATTCTAGTTTTACTCCAAAACATCTTTCAAAGTATTCAATCCGCGTAAGACAAAGAAGTTTTTATAAACGCCTCTTCCTTTCTTTATTTTTCCAATGAGGGATAAGTTTCCTCCTCTTAAAAGTTAACTCATCAACACTAACTAATCTAACACTGTCATGCTGTCATTCTTGCTGTTCCTGAATCCATCAGCAAAGATTATTCCTAGTAAGGTTCCAAAGCAAAAGATACATCCTACAGTAACAAGTCACCAGAATACCATATATACGTGAACAGTTCTTTCGTACAAGAAGAACTGTACAATGGAAGGTAGCATACAAAAGGCTATCATTCTTTAGTTGGAGATGTCAATAACCCAAACCACAGGTTGAAGAACTATCACAATTGAATTCTAATTAAACGTACAATTTCATTGAAACTTAGCCAAAGCGAATAGAGAGTAAATTTTATGGGTGGTCATTCAACTTTGTATTCATTAATTACGCAAAAGTCACTTTTTTTTATGTTACGTAAAAAAAATATTCAACTTTGTGTTTATTACCCAAAAATCACTTTTCTTTCTTTTGTTAAACAAAAATTATTTTACATTGCTCTATTTATCACAAAAGTTACCTTGGCCAGATTTTACAATACTTTTATTTGAAAGTCTATTATGTCCTTGACATTATGAATTCTCTCATTTATATAATATCTTCAATATTATATACTATATAATATATTTTTACCTAGATATTCTACTTATAATTAAAATAATTTTAAATTATTTTATTTATTATTTTTTATAATAAATCCATATATTTAATTTTTCCACGGCACTCAGTTTGTTTAAACATATTCAAATATGAACATATTTTAAATATAAAAATAATAATAAAATATTTATTTTTTTATTTAAAATAATAAAATATATCTATTTAATAAATGATATTTATAGTCAATAAAATTTTTTAAAATATTTCAAAGATAATTGTGTTTAATATTAAGTTTTTAAAAACTTTTATCCGTTAATATTATTTATTTGAAAGTATTAATCTGATGTCTCATTTTGCTAAATGTGGTTATTTTATTTATTAAATTAATGAGTATGGCTTGGCTGATAAATTAATGAGCTTTGATTTTTTTATTTTTATTAAATATATTTCATTAAGCAAGATTAATATTACTCGTTGCCTTCCTAAGATTCCTTGGAAGGGCGACGTAAGACTAAGCAACTGATATTAGTGCAGTTACTATCCGCCAACTGAGGTCTCCTCCGTACGCTAGATGAGATTGTCAGTGTCGTACGAGAAAACCAATGTCAAGAGCAATTGAGAGCACATAAATGAGAATTGAGATTGAAAGAAAGCTTGATTGTATTAATGAAAGCTATTACAAAAAGGCAATACAGTGTCGAGGGGGAGAGACACCAGTATAGAGAATTGTTTGCTTGCTAGAAAGTTTGATTGATTGATCTCTCCTAATAGTGCTTAAAAAGTAAACCAAAGTTACCAGACTGGACCTAACTAAGCTAGAGGAACATAATGGAAGTACATGAAATAAAATTACTCTATATTTATAATAAGAAGGACTTAGTTCTCTACAAGGTAGAAATAGGTCCGTTGTCAACAACCTTATTTTTGGCATCACGGTCTGTGCGCGCGACGCTGTTGGAATCTGCATGCGGCTGGACTCGGGCGAGGGATATCGGTGGGGCGGCAGAGGCACATGCGCGCTTGTCACTTAGCGCATCCAAGACCACGGGACCGTCCGTGGCGCTAGGCATTGGGAGGCTTGCTAGGATGCCACAGGGCATGTCCAAGAGGTCATAGGGCATGGCTGGAAAGCCGCCCATGACATGCTCCCCCACCTGAGTTGGTGACGTCCTCGACGCCTTACTTGCAAGATAATCATCAATTAGATTCTTGTTGGCTTTGAGGATTGTTCTCCTCTCCTAAGTATTCTCCTCTACATCATTGACCTGCCATTTCACCAAGAACTCATGGTGATCTTTCCTTGAGGCGTGAATTACTCGATCATCAAGAATAGCTTGAGCACGCCTTTTTCCCGTTGAATTGGGGCCTCGAATACTTGGTATTATGAGTTGGCTCTGTGAAGGATCCTCCATGTCTTCCCGAAAAGGTTTCTAGTGGAGTGTGAGTCGCGATCACTAACAATGTCTTTAGCCAGGCCCCTATATTTGACGATATGAGAGAAGAAGAGTCGAGTTGTATATTCTGCTAAGATGTATTGTGAGGCTGCTATAAAGGTAGCATACTTGGAAAACCGATCCACCACAACCAAAATAGTTGTGAGATCTCCGATCTTGGGCAATCCGGTGATGAAATCCAGGGAAACACTTTCCCAAGGTCTCTTTGGGACAGCTAGTGGTTCCAAGAGTCACGCTTGTCCTTCTGGCATACTAGACAAGTATTCACATATTGAGAGACGTCATCGTCCATTTGAGGCCAATAATATGCACGACAAATTAATGCCATGGTGCGGTCTTCACCGGGATGGCCGACCCACAAAGTATCGTGTCATTACACTAGAAGAGTCCTTCATAGATCTCCTCCTTTTGGAACATAAATTCGATTCCCTTTCACTTTCAGGAAACCATCTTCCATCTAAAACTGGTGAGTCTTGCCCTGTCCTTCCAAATAAATCAAATACTGTGCAACAGGATCCTTGATGAGTAGATCTTGTATCTGGTCTTTGATGGTGGTGGCTACTTCGCTCCCCCTTAGAGTGGCGAGTTGGCACACTGATGCTATATCAGCTCTCCGACTAGCGCATCGACGACATGATTGGTCTTCTCACTTCGGTACTCCAGGTTGAACTAAAATTCTGCTAG